TCCACAGTAAATTAAAACCTCTCTGTACTTTTCAGCATTCATGATCCCATCAATATTGCCAGCACCACTGACAGAAATGTAGCCCCAAACCAGGACAGACACTTCATTATGTCTCTCTGAAGACTGCAAACACTCATTTCTCCATATCTCTCCAGCTCTTCTCATATATTGCTGACCACTGAATCCCAAAATTTCAAAGTTGGATTCATCATTGGATAATACTCTTTTCCACTGATTCTTAGTCCAACTTTTCGGAGCTTCAGCATATCTTACCCTTTTTACCCTGTTCCCCTTCTGCAAGTGTGATATCTTGGCTGCTACCCACCCACAAAGGCCATTCCTGGTTGAGCTTCTTCAGACTGTTGAAAGGTCAATTTGGCCTCCAGATGAAGTTGCAGGATGCTGAGCCAGGTCCTTGGTGGATTTCCTCTGATTTCTCAAAGGAATTTCTCATCAGAATTTGAAAGTTTCCTTGGCCTTCAAATCCTCCTTTTTTGTCCTTGACTTCTCCTGCTTCCTCAGATTTCCTTATGACAGTTTGAATATCTATGCAGATTCCCAATCATCCAGATCATGGTTGTCCAAGGTGTTTTTCAAAAGGCAACTGGACTTTCTTAGTTTTTTCCTTGAAGAAGTTTCGTTTCTCATCTAAGAAGCTTCTTAAGTTTTGAAGAAGCTGTAGAATCTTCTTGGATGAGAAGCGTCTTATCTGAGATGGCGGTCATATAGGCAACATTTGTGTCTAGAACAGTGGTTTTCAACCTGTGGGTCGGGACCCCATTTGGGGTCGATCAACCATTTCACGGGGGTCGCCAAGCAAGGCTGTCCGCCATTTTTTTGTCAGCCATTTTTTTCCCCTTTTCCGGCGGGTGCCTTACCTCCCTTGGGCTGGGCCAGCTGGTGGTCGGCCTGCTCCGTCTCTGCCACTTGCCAGCTATGCCTCGGCTGGCGCAGGGGCGGAACCACGCATGCGTGGCGCTCCCGGGGAGGGAAAGTCCTCGACGTACGACCGGTTGGGTAGTCCTCGACTTACGACCGGTTTAGTCCTCGACTTACAACCGGTTTAGTCCTCGACTTACGACCGGTTTAGTCCTCAACTTACGACCGGTTTAGTCCTCAACTTACGACCGGTTTAGTCCTCGACTTACGACCAGTTGGGGTCGCGGCATTAAAAAGGTTGAGAACCACTGGTCTAGAAAGTAGACAATACCATGGACGGTTTCTGGGGTTGAGCTTAAAGGAGTTAAAACCATGGAGTATTGTATTGCTAGAAAGGATGGCAGGACCGGAAAGCGCAGAGGAACTTCCTCTTTGGGATCACTCATGAGAGGAGGATGGTGCGCAGAGAGGCTTTTGTGCTCTTCCAAGGATCGAAACAGCAGCTGGAAGGTGAGTTGAAGGCAGGTCGGAGGAGAAGCCGGGAGCAAGCAGGGTTTTTTTTGTTTCCTCCATAGTGTCCAATCAGAGAAGCAACTAGGCCAGGGGTAGGCAACCTTGGCTCTTTTATGACTCGTGGACTTCAACTCCCAGAATTCCTGAGCCAGCATGGCTGGCTCAGGAATTCTGGGAGTTGAAGTCCACGAGTCATAAAAGAGCCAAGGTTGCCTACCCCTGAACTAGGCTGAAGCATGTCAGCTGCTGCTGCATGTTCCTTCTTTCCCCAGTCCACTCGTGCCAAGGTTGCCTACCCCTGCCTTAGATAGAGACAGGACAAGCGTGCTTTTTCACCAACTATCCCCGGTCAAACAGGCAACAACTGTGCCTAGAAAGCGGACAATACAGTGGGCGGTTTCTGTAGTTGAGCTTAAACGAGTTAAAACCATTGAGTGCTGCATTGCTAGAAAGGATGGGAGGAGAGGAGAAGTGCAAAGGAACTTCCTCTTCGAGAATCACTCAAGGGAGGAAGGTGGTGTGGAGAGAGGCTTTTGTATTCTTTCCCAGGTTGAAGCGGCAGCTGGAAGGTGAGTTGAGGGCAAGTTGGAGGAGAAGCCGGGAGCAAGTTGGGCTTTTTGATTTCCTCCGCTGGGCGGAAGCAGAGAAGCAAACAAGGCTGAAGCATCTCAGCTGCTGCTGCTGCAAATCCCTTCCCTC